CATTTATAAATTGTTAGATTCCCTTTTCTGTTTCCGGAATGTGCGGACTGCCAATGATTGGCATTTGTATTGCTTTTAAATACTACTTTGAGAATACAAAGAAGGTAGAGAGAAATTTGATTTAGAATTCTTAGATTAATAGTATAACAGTAGCTACTCCTTTACCCTATCAAAAGGTTTATGGTTGCAGTAAACGACAGAAACCCTAAGTTGGGGGTGTGTGAAGAGTGAGAAGGCATATGGTGAATTTAAAGGAGCCACAACACGTGATGATGTGTTTCTAGAAGATGCATTTTGGTGAATACACATGTGATGATGGGATATCTCAAGAATTAATTTATTTGAATTAATTGAATATCTTGGCCATTTAAAAAGAGTTCTTCAAAGCAATTTCAAGTTATTATGGGACAATATTTAAAAGGAAAAACATTTAGGGAGTTATTACAATATTTATACTTATTAATATAGGGGATTGGAGTGTGTAATCGCTTTTAATTTTCACTTTTTAGTAGATCATTATATTTCTTAGATGTAAAAAAAAATTATATCTTATTTAAATAATTATACATAACTTTCTAAGATCTTATTTGTATGTAATTATTATAGACATGAAGTGTTTCGACCCCTCTAATCCTTATAATTGAAATGTTTTCGTATAGTCAAACTTTTAAACTAATAAAAATAACATAAAATATTATTTTTTTTAATCTTTTTTCTTCTACACTAAGTGGTATGTTCTTAGAAAATAAATGATTTAATTAATTAAATTTTATTTCTTTCCATCAAATATTGATCCAAGTGTTTCAAATGGCTTAGTAAAAATCAAAATAACTTTGAGAAGAATACAATAAGATTTTATTTGCTAAAGTTGAGAAAGATTTTGTAATTTTTATTTATTTATTTGCTCCTTATAATTCATACACAAGTGTAAAAAATTTCACTCATAATATATAAAAACATTCTTACTGATTCGAATATTTCGTATATATATTAAGAATTTTAAGAAAATAGATATTGAAATGAAAAATATAAATATGTTAAAGATTAAACAATTCTAAATTAAATTTTTAAAAATTTTAAAAAGACAAAAAAATAAATAAAATTAGTTTCAAAACCTTTTAAATATATAAGGGTACCGCAGAATTTTTCAAACATTTAAATCGAAAATTAAATATTGTGATAGGTAATTGTGTTACGACCTGCTCCACAAATGAAAAAAAAGGGGTTAGAAAATTTGGCATGGAATAATTTATCATAGTTCATCCAGTGGTCTTCATTCACGGTCCAAAAAACAGTGAAAGTTTATATTACAAGTTATTTTACAATATTTAGTGTCTAGGAGATACTTATATTTCTTCTTGTTGTTCTTCTATTGAGTTATGGATTCTATGCATTTTAGTGTTATATAGCTTTGACTGTTATTCTTTTGCTGAAATTCTGTGAATTTTAGCTTGTAATTCACTGATTATTCATGGGTTTGTGCATGTTGTTCACCACTTAAAATTTATGGTTCATTGTGAGATTATATAGCTGTCATTGTAATAGAATATCAATATCTATAAATTGATATTTTTTTACTTGAGAATTTTCTAACTCTACTAATTTTAGTATTTTTTGGTATACGATAGTGTGATTGCCAATTGTGTTGTTACATCGATATTAACAGATCTAAAAATTTTAAGTTGTGGGGATAATTAAACCAAATGTATAAATTTATAATATTAATAATTTAATATAGTTATAACATATAATTAAATAACTATTTAACTATTTATCTCATTCTTTTTCTCATCCTATTTTTTAAATGATGCTCATAAAAGAAATCTCTTTTATGAAAATTAGATGAAAAAATAGACATGCATTTCTCTTAAAAGAAAAAAGAAAACGTAATAAGTTTTTATTTAAAATGCGAGAGGTTTAGATAATACTAAATATCACTATCGAGTAAAAATAAGATTAAGAATAAACAAATAATAGACAAATTAATTTATAGATAGTTATAAAGATAAATTACTCCAAAATTTGTATACACCAAAATAATGATAACAATAATAATAACAATAATAATAATAATAATAAAAACAATAACAATAACAACAATAACAACAATAACAATAATAACAATAATAACAATAACAACAATAACAACAATAACAATAACGATAATAATAATAATAATAATAACAATAACAATAATAATAATAATAACAACAATAACAATAATAATTTTATATTATTACATTGTAAGTATCAGGATTTTACATGTATGCTTCTACCAGATGCATTAAAAAGACAATCCCAAGGGAATACCATGCTTAAATTGAATTCCTCTTGAAGGTAGGAGTCGAAATCATCGCTACATCATCTTATTATTATTATTATTATTATTTTTTTGATCAGCAAAGAGAATATTTATTAATAATACTATATGAACGTACAAATACACGGTGCCCTTTTCTTACTTGAATATAACACTTCTTCCCAACCAGTTGACAACATATGTTTTGTACCCTCACTCCCCCCGCATATGTACATGCTTTGACTCCCACCCCTTACTTGATAGCTCTATCGCCCTAATTCGTACCCCGAACCCCTCCACTTTTAACAGATCCCCCAACCTCACAGGTGTATTTGTTGCATGTGACCTGTTTCAATGTAAGACTTTTCCCAATGTTTGCACAGTCTTTAATGTCTTGTCTGGATTGATATACAATTAGGCCACAGGTTGCACCGATATTGCATTCTCACTACCATCCCGATAATTTAACCACTATGCCATTAGGCAAGCTGCAGGATTAGCTTACCATAGATCATAGTGGAAGCTGAAACTCTTTTTATTTAATCTTAACCAGGACCAAGAAGTGAATGTTATGTTGTTTTCTAGCTCTTCCACCACAATGTTCTTTCCTCTAAATACTTTATTATTTCTAGCCTGCCATATGCACCAAGTGATGGCACTTCTAATGGTATCCCATTTTTCTCTTTCTTCCTGATTATAACAGAGATGCGCATACTGAAGGAAGTGTTGTGGGACTGATTGAGGAAGTATTGATGATATTGAGCCCCACGCATGACAGTATTTCCATACATGATCTGCTACCTTACAAGAAAGAAACAAATGGGATTCTGTCTCTGGGTGTTCATTACATAGTACACAATGACTGTCATCACTATCTAATCCTAGACCTCTTCTTTGTAGATTGTCAATAGTGGGCAAGGCATTATGTATTAATCTCCACATCAATTTGACCGCCTTTGGAGGAATTTTTAATTTCCAGATTTTTTGAAAGCTAATATCCACCAATCCGGGGTACCTCATATTGTGAATGACTTTGTATGTCGAATTGACTGTATACATCCCTGAGCTCTCTATAGGCCAGGACCAGGAGTCTTTGATCTGTTTTTGCAATTTAGCTCGGGCGATTAACAGTTGAAAAGAAGCCCACTGTTCATTTTCCCTGTCAAACCAGTTTCTCCTCCATTGGAAACACCATCTCCACTCTTGTCCCTCCCATGTTCCCATATCTGCTACCTTATTTTGTTGTTGGTTTGAGTTGACAGATATACGTGGGAATGCTTCTAGTAAACTTTGATCGCCTAGCCACTTGTCTTGCCAAAATCTTATTTCTTTTCCATCCCCAAGTTTCCATCTCATTGTTGAATCAAACCACCTCAGCTCGTCTTCTCCCCCACAACTTTTCTTTATATCTCTCCACCACTCTGAACAGTGACTAGGTTGTGAGTTATGTTGTTCATCTAGTAAGCTTGCATACCCACCATATTTAGACCTTAGAACTTGAGTCCACAAACTGTCACTTTGGTGGAAAAAATTCCATCTCCACTTTGCAAGCATTGAGATGTTGAAGCTATCCAGATCTTTTATTCCCAGTCCGCCCCTATTTTTTGGCATTGTTACCTTTTCCCATTTCACCCAGCAAATCTTTGTCTCCTTATCATCCATACCCCACATGAATTTTCTTTGGATACTAACAATTTCCTTTAGAACTATTTTAGGCAGCCTAAAAAAAGAGAGAAAGTACAGGGGTATAGCTGATAGAATAGAGTTTATTAGACAAATTCTGCCTGCTAAAGAGATATTGTCTTATTTTTCCATCTTGCCAACTTGTTCTTGATTTTATCTATTACTGGTTTCCATGTTGCTCTCCTCCTCGCCACAGATTCTGCCTGCTAAAGAGATATTTTCTTATTTTTATACTGTGTTCATATCCACTCCTATTACACCAAAGCAGCTTTTGTGAAAATTTACTTTCAACCCAGAGACAAGTTCGAAGCATCTCATAACACTCTTTATTGTGACCACATGTAATCTGAGACAACGGTTCTTAATATTGATTAATGGAAAAATTTTATTTGGCTTAAGAAATTTATCCCAACACTTAGTTAATGTTGGAGTGAGGTATGAAGTTAAGGATTATAACCTTTAACCGATAATTGGAAAGGTTATGTGGTATCTCAAAGATAATTAACTGGCTAATCACAAAAGTGACTTGGTAATCTATGCCAAGGTTGTGATATGCTCATACTTGACTATGCTAGTCTTGACTATGAAAATGGACTTTCCTTATTTAAATGACGACACTTGAGAAATCAAAAGATAAGGATTAATATTTCAATTTAGTTGACGATCTAAGAGACACATGAGACATGAAAATAATTAGGTTGATTTGGTAAGGTCTAAGTCAAGCCACTTAAACTGTTTAGGTGTTATAGGAGATCTTCATAAGTGAGGTGTAAGCATATGATGAGTTTTATTGTAGAAAAGAAAGTGGGTTAGAAGTAGTAACAAGGGGTGGTGCAGATAATGGAGATGTTAAGGGAAGGCCCAACATGGGAAAATGGCATGCAAAGTTGGAAAACCCAAAGTAAGAATAAAAAGATGATTAAGGAGATGAATAATTGAATTAATTTAGTTAATAAGAAAAGGAAAAGGAAAAGAAGGCGTGATGTGTCGCGATTCCTTTATATAAGAGTCCTCCAGCCTTCAACTCAACCTCCGATTGAAGGGACACCTCACCCACCCCATTCCCGTTCCGTTGGTTCTAAACCCCCAAACCAAACACCTTCATTATTCATTAATCACTAATTTCCAGTTTTCACTAGCTAGCCTCTCTCGCGCTCCATTAGATTTCCTCTCCAACTATATATATATACCCCTCACTTCTAGATTCATTCGAATCTCATCCCACAAATAGAAACCCCTCTTTCCATGTCGTCATCTCTCACCGCAAATCCAACCCTCGCCGCCGATCGCTCACGTGACTCGCACAGGACCAAGAAGAAGAAGAAATCTCCAACCAAACACACCCCCGCCAAATGGAAATCCCACGCGCAGCAGCACCTCTACTCGACCAAGCTCCACCAGGCCCTCCGCAGAGTCAACATCTCAGGCGACGCGCCCCGCCGCGGAAAGGCCGTCCGTGAGGCCGCCGACAGGGTGCTCGCCGTCGCCGCCCGGGGGAGGACCCGCTGGAGCCGCGCCATCTTGACCCACCGCCTCAAGCTCAAGTTCAGGAAGCCGAGCCACAAGAGGCACAAAGTGGTTGGGCCGGCCCGCCCCAAGAAGCCCCGCTTCGGCGTCCTCCGCCTCAAGGCCAAAACCCTCCCCGCCGTCCAACGGAAAGTCAGGTTCCTGGGCCGCTTGGTCCCCGGTTGCCGGAAAGAACCGCTTCCCGTGATTCTCGAAGAAGCAATCGATTACATCCCCGCGCTCGAGATGCAGGTTCGAGCCATGGCAGCTCTCGCTGACTTACTCTTAGGCTCTTCCTCCTCCGCCTCCGCCGCTGCATCCACCTCCTCGCCACCCAATTGATCTCACTTTCCGGCGTCCAGCCACGTGTCATATATATATATTTTTTTTCCTTCTTAATTTTTGTTATTATTTCCCTCGTTTTCACCCTCTCTCCTCTCTGCTTATGTTAATTGTTAAGTACATAGATATTATATCTTTTTATTTTCTCTTTCCCAATTTCACCTTCCCACCCATTTCTCTCTTGATCGAGTTGAATACAAGTATTAAATATTTGATGTAACGCAAACGAAAAACTTTTAGTTGAACCGAAAATAATATTGTACCGGTTGATTTACGGGTTTGATTTGAATTTCTAATTTTAACCTAGTTAGAGAAGGATGATTAATTTAGGAAGGCATTAATTTTTTGTCCAAAATTAAGAGGTGGATTGATGAAAAGTATATGATAATGTGATGATGAAGTGGGTGGTAAGTTAGTTAAGAAGCCTGCAATGGAACTGTCCCTGTATCTGTATCTGTATTATTCGTGTCGTGTTGTGGATACTGAATTTTAAGAAAGAGTTTGAATGCTGGGAATTTATGGGTCTTTGTCTCAGCCAAGCTTAGAGCTTAGAGCTTAGAGCTTAGAGCTTAGAGCAGGATAAGGTTTACCCGGTTAGGGTACTGTTTGGGAAAGCAAGTTTTGTCATTGAAATTGCATAGCTAACTCCACTTCTCTAAAGTTTTGCCGAAAGTGCCAAAAACATGCTTATTCCACACATTACTATGGTATGGTCCCATGTGGCTTGTCGCCCCCACCTCGTACCACACTGCTCAGTGCTCATGCTCACATTTTTACATCGCACACACTCTCTCTCTCTCTCTCTCCTTCTTCGTTAACGTCCTCCTCTAACCTCTACCAAAAAAATAAGAATTAGAAAACAAAGAAAAAAACATTAACTGAATTTGGTCGTATCTGAGAAGCTGAGGCTAATACTTCACATGCTCTCCCACATGGAGCAAATGGCCGGAGCCACTCATGAGTTGACACGTGTCCAGGCTGAGACAAAAAACTGCCTCTCACTTTCGGTGGCAGAGAGCACACGAGTGCCTGAGTTTCATCACTATCAATATTGAATAGGAGTGCGTCTTCCTCCTAGACCCCATTTCAGGATCATGATCCATGAAGAAAATTGGCTTAGAAAAAGGAGGGGATGGGTTCATTTACCACCAAAGGCAATTAATTATTGAACAAGAGGACCACCCTAAAAACAACAGCTTTAACATTTGCTGCTACGTGCCTTTCAAGTTCATCACGTGATGGTTGCACTTATTTATTTCTAAATTATCACTCATCAATGACCACAATTCAATACCCCCCATGTGCCTATTCAATCCTGCTTTTCACATCATCCCAGGGTCACCCAATTTTGGATTCTCACTATCGCCCCAAAACATGCAAAACAAGGACCAAATTCGATTCTCATTAAAAATAAACCCAAAAATACGATTATATTTTCGGTATTGGTCGAAGGAGAGATTTTTATTATAAAAAAAAAAAAGAATTATTTGGTTCAATTTTTGAAAAAAGAGAAAGAAAAGAATGGAGAAGAGAAAAATCCTTCCTGACCTAATTTAATTCTCTTTCAATATTACATATTGGGAGATGTGGAAGAGAATGAAGAACTTTCAAGATATTTTTAAATATAATATTTAAAATAGAAAAATGATAGAGCGCATCTTCTAAAATTCATTCCGAACGATTAATATAATAATTTAAATTATAAAATATTAAATAAAATAATTATTTTATAATAAATTTATTAAAAAATATTAATATTTTAATATTTGGAACGTGATTCAGAATATATTTTTGGACAGTGTATTAGTGCTCTTTAGAATATCTTTACTTTTTTTTTCTAAAATTTAGAATAATAAGATTATAATGATAATTTATTTTTTAAAATATTTCTCCTCTAATTGCGAATAAAGAAAATTTATGTCCCGTCTTTTTTCTTTTATTTAACTAAATAGATTTTTTAATCTCTTCTCTGCGCTTCTTTCTCTTTACCATCTTTTGAATCCAACAGATCTTTAAGGAAAGCTAGTAAGTACACTCAAAATAAAAAATATAAAATATAGGGCCTTGGTTGTATATATGTTCACATCCAGCATCATATATTAAAAGCATGACTATTTTCAAACAAGTGACAATGGTCATTGGTCAATGTGGCGTTTGCTTAATGAAACTCGTCACGAACTCCCAACACAAATGTTACCATCAGGGAAAAGTGAATAAGAAATTAACAATTCTATTCCCTTTGTGTTGTCCTCTCCTTTGTTCATGCGTTTATCCCAAAAATGTTTCTTCTGACAAAGATATTCACGATTAATTTACCCTAGATTGAATCAATACTTTATTCCCCCGCATTCTCTTCATACGAATTCTATGGGTGTCTCTTTTGAACTTTTATCAAATTGTTTCATATGATAACGCTGTGAAGGAAAACGACAAGGGATGTTTCGTTGGCTTGTTATAATAGTTTTGAGAAGCAAATTGATTCCAATTTGTTGTCTGATGCCACCGAAAAATATTTGTTAAGGGGTAAGATACCCCATTAAGCAATATTGGTTTCATGTTTCAACAAACTCTTTAACAGGTAAGTTCTACAATATTTAACACCACATAATATTGGGAAATGTTAGTTTCATCTAATTTTTCTTCACTTAATTTTACATGTGATGAATAATTGATTTTGGTGAAAAAGATGACGGAAGGGAAGGAGGAAAGGAATGATGTCACATGAGTTTTGTAAGAGGAAATCATGTGAATACACCTCATAAATTATTACCTTAATTAACACTAGATTTTGAAAATGGACTTACAGTTTTATTTCATCATTTTCATAAGAAACACTAACGTGGAGTTAGGATTTTAATGAGCCTCTATACTTATAATTTGGGTGATAATTTTACCTAATACTTATAATAGTATTAGAAAAAAAATCAGAAATACATAAAGTAAATATATATTCAATAGAAATGAGTTAAAGATTTATTCACAAAATTTAACGAAAAAGGATATAAATATGAATATTACATGAACCCTAGCATACTCACACGGGAGTGTGTATGTGTATAAGAAAAGATTAAATTACTATAAAGGTGATAACCAGATGACTATTAAAAGAAAATAAAGAGTGTTGATGAAAACTAATCTTCTAAATTAAATATTTGTAGTTTGAGTCAACATGTTAAATGTGTATTTAATACCTGTTAAATTATAATGTTAACCATGATCTAATATTAAAAATTGATTGACAATCAAATATTAAAAATTGATTGACAATCAATATTTAATAATATTTACGGTAAATACACTTTTAGTCTCTATTTTTATCTCATAAAAATAATAAAAAAAATGAAAATGGAATAAAAATGAAGATCATTAAAAAATATACAACCAAGAAATCAATCGTTAAGTAATGTATCCATCTTACTTATTGTTGAACCAACCATTTTGTAACGAGTAATTTGTTTCATATGAATGATAAGTCTATTCTATAAAAGAATTGATATAGTTATTGAACTCTACCATTCCTTTTACGTATTGTATGTTTCTACCCCATCATTTCATACAAGATTCCAATAGAAATAAAATCTTCTATCACGCATCATTTTTTCTCACCCTTTATGTCCACCATACTAATTATCCCTTGTTATAACTTTATTTTCCCAATGTCACAAGATACCTACCACTTGTCTCAGAAAGGCAAAATAATTTTCTAGTGGCAAATTTTGAGGAGGAGGAAATCAAAAATGTAGTGTGGGAATGTGAGGGAACTAAAAGTCCTGCACCTGATGGATTTAACTTCAACTTCATCAAGTCATTCTGGGAATTACTAAAAGGTGATGTTCACAGGTATTTACAAGAATTTCATTCTAATGGGAAAATACCAAGGGGTTGTAACTCATCATTTGTTGCACTAATTCCTAAAGTATCATGCCCAAACAAACTAGGTGATTACAGACCAATATCATTGGTGGGATCCTTGTACAAAATACTTGCAAAACTGCTAGCAAATAGACTGAAAGTGGTTCTCCCATATATAATAGACCAGACCCAAAGTGCTTTTCTTGGCGGGAGGAACATGCTTCATAGCATAGTAGTAGCAAACGAGGTCATAGACGATGCACGTAGGAAGAAAAAAACTGCTTTATATTCAAGGTGGACTATGAAAAGGCATTCGACTCTGTGGAGTGGGGGTTTCTCTTATACATGTTACAGAGGTTAGGCTTTGACAACAAATGGAGAAGCTGGATTGAAGGATGTCTAAGATCAAGTCAAGTTTCTGTCCTTATCAATGGCTCCCCTACTTCAGAATTCTCCCCACAAAGGGGATTAAGACAAGGTGATCCATTATCACCCTTCTTATATGTGATTGTGGCGGAAGGTCTAGCTGGTATGATGAGAAGCGCTGTCCAAAAAAATTTGTTCACAAGTTATGAGGTGGGAGCTAAAAGAGTGGCGGTAAATTTGCTACAATTTGCAGATGACACCATTTTCTTTGGAGAACCAACTATATCTAATGTCATAACTATCAAGAGCTTATTGAGATGTTTTGAGCTAGTTTCAGGTCTCAAAATTAACTTCTATAAAAGCTGTTGTGGGGCAATTGGATCAAACTTGTCAGATTTGATAAGGTACGCCATGGTTTTAAATTGCAAAATCATGGATATACCATTTAAGTACCTTGGTCTCCCAATTGGTGATAATCCTAGACGTCAGTCTATGTGGAAACCAATCATACTTAAATTTGAAAAGAAGCTTGCACTTTGGAAAAATAAGCTTATATCCCTTGCTGGCAGAGTTTGTTTAATCAACTCTATTCTCTCATCACTTCCACTATTTTACATATCCTTTTTCAAAATACTTAAGAAGGTGGAACATAGGATAGTGAAGATACAACGTAGATTTTTGTGGGGAGAGGAAAATCAACACAACAAAATTGCTTGGATCAGTTGGGATAAAATATGTCGTTCAAACGCACAAGGTGGACTAGGAATAAAGGATATTAGTCTGTTCAACAAGGCATTATTGGGGAAATGGCGTTGGAGCATGTTCCACAACGAAAAAAACCTATGGGGAGACATACTAGAATCTAAATACGGAGGGTGGAGGGATCTAACGAGTGGAGAGGATAATAACTTCCAATCATACTGGTGGAAGGACTTAAGAAAAGTATATGGAAATAAGGATGAGGAACAATGGTTTGAAAGACTATACCAATGGAATGTTATGGATGGTCAAAAGACTCTATTTTGGGAAGACCCATGGTTGGATCAGGAACCACTA